TGTAATTTTATTTACATACCAAATTCTCATTACACAAAAAAGAATTGTTCTCATATTTCATTTAATAGTTGATATTCGTACAATTGATTTTTGTACACAATTTGATATCGGAACATTTGATTTTTGTTGGGAAGTTGATATCCCAATAGTACAAAGATTGTGTATTGAGACATGACGTCGTGTGCGAATAGAATTACCCGTTTTGTTCTATGGTGGTTACCCATGCACATTGTGTGTGTCCATGAGGCTAGTATATATAATGTACTAGAGGTATACTATGGGCACACACATAACACTGTGCGTGTGAAACAGTTACAGCAATCATGATGGTTGCTAAGTTTGAAGGAGGGAAATTATTGTAGGTATAAAAAAATTGAAGCTTCAAAGAGTTGTGTGCTTTATATAATAGTATAGATGTATGGTAGTTGTGGAATTGGTAATTTTGTTATTAAATAAGTATGAGTGATTTATTATCATGAATGTGATTTTAATTTGATAACATTGATTGATTGAAATCCAGGAGGTTGATGAGTTTATAATTGGGCTTCCTAAGTCTTGTGACGGAAAGGAGACGCAGCAATCCAACAAAGTTCGCAGTGTGGCTGGTAGGTTTGCTGTCCGGGCTGCGGAGAGGTGAGATTGTTATAACGTGGTTCAAGCTTTGTGTATGTGGTTAATTTTATTTATATTGATTTTTTGAGCTATATTGATGGTTTACAGATAGATATATTAATATTTTTTCAGCTATATTTAGCTTGTCCTCAATCTGATTGATTTATTACATATGTTGATGTTCAATGAGGACACCCATTTGTGTTGGTGACTTGATTATGTTCTTGTGTAGTTCATTGATTTGATTTATTTAGTTTTTTAACTCAAAATAGAGAAAAAAATATCATTCAATATATTTATGGGTTTTGAAGGACATTAGGGCGTGTTTGGATCAAGGATTTGGGGAGGAAAAAGAAAAATGAATGAAATTGAAGCTTTTTAATTTTATTATTATTATTTTTATTTCCCTTTCCTTTTCCTTATTATCCACAAATTCCCCATTGAATCCTTGATCTAAACACAACCTTAAATGACATTTGAAAGATTTAAAATTAGGTAATCACTTGCATATGCTGTATTGGAGACCTTAAGATGAACATCCTTGAAATTTGGTGTTTCATCAAGACTAGAATTTGAAAGCTAAATCTACTTATCTTCTCTATGGTCTACAAACTTTTAATATCTTGGGAATTAGCTACTTGGGATAGACACCAGCTGTTCATGTTGGTTTGAAGTTTCAGTCATGAAGCGTTTTGGTTCGACATAGGCCAATTCATGCTTCTTGTTAGCAAAGTATATACTCAAAACATTGCAATCATTCTTCTTAATCATATAACAACTGTTCATATTTCATAAGGAAGCCACTTATAAGTTTTCACATGATTCCCTTGCAGTATTTGTAGGGCACCTCAAACACAAATGCATTTGGTGAATGTAACATTGTAGTAGGACCACTTATACCTACAGTATGTTCTGATTAAAATATAAATAAATAAACTTTTTGTTGTTAGTATATCTAATCCGTGTTCTAAAGGCGCGCCTAAGTGCGCGCTTAGGCGCAAGGCGCACCTGAGGTGCCTCAGACAGCTTGAGGCGAGGTGCGGTAGAAAAGGCACATTTGAGGCGCTTGAGGCGTGTTCCTTAGGCTTAGGCGTGAGGTGCACGCCTCATGTGCTTCATTTAAATTTTTGCTCCATCCTTATTTTTTGTGTGTGTAAACCATATGGAATTGCAACCCCTTTAATATAAAATGTACAGACATGCTTTAAGCCCCAATTTTCATATCAAAAAAAGCTCTAGGTATTAAACAAGAGCTTTGGGATTGCAAGATGGATATATTGTTTTGGTATTCCTTTCAATGTAATAAATTACAATAGTTTTGGGCCAATGATTGAAGCTATTAGGCAATTTGGTCTCGATTTAAAATTAAAACCACTAAGGTATGGTGTGAGTTCCTTATCTAAAAAAAAAAGAAATCACGGTAATAAATTGATAAAAAAAGATAAATAGCATAGGGAAAAATAAGATTGAATGTTATTTTTTTCTTGATTTTTGGAATATTCAATGTCGTTTTTTTTTTTTTTTTTGAAATTCTAAGAATATTTGTTTGATGTTAAAAATTTCGCCTATGTTAATATTTTGGTTATCTTCAACAACTTGCGCCTTGCTTCGGTGAGGCGCGCCTCGCCTTGCGCCTCACGCTTAAGCTCCAGGTGACCTTAGCACCTCAATGCGCCTAGAGCTTTTTAAAACACTGTATCTAGTGTCATAATGTGATTTCTAATTACTTTGGTGTTTTTTAGTCATCTTGTATCTTTGAAGGACTTGTCTTTTATGAAGGGGGTGTTGATGCCCTGTCTGGACATGTGAGTCCTAGGACACTGAACCTTTAGTTAGTATAAATTATAAAGTGGATATGAATACATTCCCCAACTATAGGAGTCTGAAGTAGAGATGACGATTCTATACATGGGAGATACGAAAATGTAGTCATTGTCTTGTAAGTTGTTTTCCTCCAATTGAATTAGTGGAGTGGTCTAAGAAGATGTTGTCATTGGCTTGTAAGCTATAGTCTTCGAATCTTGCCTTGCTTTTGGCTCTACATTTTATATGCATCCTTTCCATAAAACTATTGCAATGCAAATGAGTAATTGCATTTAATATTTTGCCATAAGTCATGTAATGTCGGCAAAACCACCTTCAAAATGGATTTCTTATTTTGAGCACTTCATTTTGCTTATGAACCCTTTCTATAAGTGTGCAAAAACATCTTCAAATTTACTAAACAAATACTGCTTTGATTATTTATTGTAAGCTTACCCATAGCTCTATGTTTGTCAAACTGTTTCTGCAAGTATTCTTGTGGCTAAATATGCTAGTAAGACTGACGAGCTTTGTATCGGATTTCAATTAATTCATGCACTATGCAGTTATTGTTGATGAAGTATTTTGTGTTTAAACTCCATCAATTATTGCCTTTTGAAGGATCATGTATGTTAATGCCACTTGACATATGCTTGACCACAGTACTGTTCATGGATGTATTGCCTTTCAGCTTTACTGATCTCAGTTCTAAAAATGAAGGGGTTGGAGAGTATATCTGCAGGACGAACACGGGACGTCAACTGAAGCAATGAATCTAATGATTGATAGGTAATTTTTCTCTAATGCATCTTAATTATTTTGATATTTGTCACTCCTTGAGTAGATTTCAAAAGCAGCGGGTTATGTTTCATATCTTTGTCCTTTTGTGAATGAATTAACCTCACTTTGCTAGGCTGTCATGTACTGAAAGGTTCATTATTAGGGGGTCTTTTTTTTATGAATTTGGTGGTTGAATTTTTCCAATTTGTTTCTCATTTAGTTTCATCACACAATTTGTTGGGTTGGATAGGTACATCTCCATGCTCACATAAAAGAATGAGACTTGTTAAAAATGATGTAAAAAACATGATACACTCCCAAATCCCATGTTAAAAACTATGGAGTAAATTGGTTTCCAACTTTTATAGTGGATACTCAAATATGTAATCTCTCTCTCTCTCTCTAGTTTTGAAGAGCTGAGAATTTAGCTTTGATTAAAAGAGCTAATAAAACTATGTCATTTACTTTTATAGGAAAACATGGAAAAGAATTCATAATTTGAGTTTTGTGAGTTATTTAGTGCGGGATATAAGTTTTCCTTTCCTGCTATTTGTAGACCATCAAATTGAGCATGGTGGCATCAGTGAAATGGCTTTCATTAAACACATAAAATTAACAATAAGCATCTACATTCGGGTTTGTTGTGCTTAATTGAATCTGAACTTGCATTGACTTCAGAGGTTTTGGATCAAATGACAAGGCACTAGCACTTTGGAAATGTGTGGTTCTATGGGTCTTATGGCTTGAAAGGAATGCTAGAATTTTTGGGGGAAGAGAAGATGATATTGAAAGTATGTGGGAGAATATGTTTTTTGGTTTCTTTTGGGTGCCAGTAGCTCCTTTTAAAGGGGTCTCTCTCTCTCTCTCTCTCTCTCTCTCTCATAGGGGTTGGTTCAAAATTAATAAAAAATTAATTAAGAAGTATCTGATACTTTTAAGAAGTATCCGATACGTATCCTCGAGTATCCGAGGAGTATCGGTATCTGATAAGTATCCGATACGGATACGTCACCCTTTTTTAAGTATCCGTGCTTCATAGGTATTTTCCTTTCTTTTATTGTTTTTTCTTGATGGACTTCTGTCCCGCTTCCTCTTGTACTTGATCTTTTTTTCTTTTTAATGAAAATTTACGTTTTGCTGATTAAAAAAAAATGTCATTCGGAAAAATCATTATGCTTTAATTCAAGTCTTTATTATACAACACATGAAATATGCTAATTTATGATGTCTAGTATTTAGTATAATAGAACACATATAAAAGATTGTGAAACTACATATGTGAAGCAATGTGTACCCTCTGATAGACCCTCAAAATTTTTATAGGGGCATCAGCAAGTCTGCTCGCCAAGGGAGAATTGATGCCTACGCTGCCATGGTATGTGTTAAGTTATCATATATATATATATATGTACATATTTATGTTTGTATTTTTATTTTTGTTGTTTTTAGCTTTTATTTTTGGCTTCTAACATATCATCCTTAATCCTTTAAAAAGGATAATTCTAAATGCAGTCCTAATTATTTATGCTTGTTATAAGTTCTATCCATAGCGCTGCTTATTGATCTTGTGAAGTGCAAGTATGAAAAGTAAAGTGATGCATAGTATCAATGTCGAAGTACAACAGCTTTTCTTTTCTTTTCTCGCATTTTTCTGGTTACAGATGGTGCTGGAGAGATATTTTTCCTTGTCCGGCCATGAAATTGAACTTGTTCTACCCAAACAGTTGGAACTCCAGGAAAAACTTCGTATCGGTCCTCCTACAGATGTGGATTTTCTAATAGATGAGTTTGATGGTTAACCATTCATTTTCAAATGCTAGTGGTTAGATGCAGGGTCCTCTATCAATATTGGCCCTTCTGTTGGCTAACATGACAGGATTCAAAGGATGAATTCAAATTCTATGTACCTAAAGTTGGCTTTTTTGAGTACTATATATATTTTTATTGACTTTATTGTAACATCAATCTTTGTATAGTTTGTTAATGCCCAGTTTTGCTACATTCCTCTTGTTCAAGTGTTTGATGCTTTTCACATCCTTGTTACGTCAAAATGGCCTTTCTTCCAAGCCTCCAAAACGAGTCTACTTCACATCTTAATTGCACAAAGCGGGGTAGGAGTGAAGCGGGGGATTGGCAGCTAGCATATAACATTATAAGAAAAGCACTTTCAGTGACCATTATTGGTGACTATGAGAAAATTCCATGACTGAAAAGGTCAGCTTTTGGCAACTGAAATACATCTTGTCGCAGAAAGTCCAATACGTGGCAACTAAATTAAAGCTTTAGTCAGCAAAGGCTTGGTGCTAAGCACCCCAAGTTCTGCTTCCATAATGAGGGAATTGTGTCCTCGATGAAACAGTAACTTATGGCACCTAATAGTTTGTCTCAAAGTGACACCCTACGAACAATGACCAATAATCAAGGTTCTGAAAAGCGGTTGCGGTCGCCGTATCGGTGGCAGTGACTCAGTTGCGGTTGCAGGGTGTAAAGGCCGTAGCATAACGGTTGCGGTAACCGGAATCGTGAATTTTTTTATTTTTCGCACAATTTGAAAAAAACTTACCGTTACGCATATTTTTTTTCCATGATCATATTTATTGAGTTTTAAAATAAATATTGATCAATTTTTATAAATTTTTAAGTTTGATCCAATATATTTCATATTTTTAAATCACTATAAATTGAGTTTTTTACATTTTATTTTAATAATTAATGACTTTATATTTTACAAAAAAATAATCACTAACTATTATATATAAGATAAACAATGACAAAAGTAGAGAATAAATAAAATTCTAAATATATATATATATATATATTAATCAAGCCAAATAGATAATGACCACACTTATTATTATTATTATTTTCAAACAATATATAAATAGACACATACAAACAAAATAGTTGAGTGATAATAGCTGAATAGAATAGCATAGGTCTTACAACTTGAACAAACCAATAACATGTTCTTCATCTTCCCTATTCTCTCTCTATCTATTGTACCTCCATCTTCCCTCTTCTCTCTCTATCTCTTTTCCCCCATTTTCAACTTTTTTTTTTTTTGAAAGAAGCAATTCGGAACCGTTACGTAACGGTGCAGAATAGGCCGTTACGGCCGTTACAGCACCGTTACGACCGCTATAGCAGCCGCTACGGCCGATACACTTGTGAATCTCAATCACACTGCAAAAGCGGCCGTAATGGGTGGCGGTAACTACCACAACCGTTACGTAACGGCGTTACGTAACGGTTGCGGCCGCTTTTTAAAACCTTGCCAGTAATATTTGCCGCCAAATGAGTATTTTTATTTTAACAGTTATGAAAATTTTTGGTGCATTTTGAAAACATTTTGGCAACCAATGCTTAATTGTTGCAGAAGGTTGTTCCTATAGAATGATGTCGTTAACTTTCCAAATTAATTCAGGCAACAAAGTGTTTGTCACAGAAGGCTTAACCTATGCAGAGCCTCTCTCTCTCTCTATCTCTCTCTCCATTGATTACAGCACACATGAGCCCCACCAATTCAACACCCAGTAGAGCACTGTCTAGTGCCACTGCCATATCGATTGTCCACCGTCACTCCACCATATCAACCGTCCCCTGTTGCTCTGCCATTGATGAGGTAATTTTGTGAAATTTTCTATTTGACTCTCGATTTCTGTCTCTCCTTTTTAAAACCTATTTTCATCTCAGGTCCTCACCCCTTCACTACCACACTACTGTCAGCCACCATCGTCGTTGCAATATCAGGTACTCTCTCTCTCTCTCTCTCTCTCTCTCTCTCTCTCTCATTTTGAAACCTGAAATGCTATCATTTATTTTTGGTGTTAAAACCCTAACATCTGGAGTGAATTGCTGGGTAATTTTGTTAGTGTGCTGATCTTTGGAGTTGTTTGTAATGTAAATTGCAGTATTGATTGTGATAGTCTTTCACCTTACTAATCTTGATCTTTTCTTTACCGACTTAACCTATACACAAATGTCATATACCTGCTTTCTATGATGTAATAACTACAATTAATTATTGTCTCTTTTATAGTTATTATCTGTGTGTGGCCCTCATGATTTCATTAATGACAATTAGTTGATTTGGTTCAGAAGAAAATTTGACCATGGCCACTACACCCTATGGGCACATATAGCTCATACACTAGCCTTTGACCATAATTGTTGTGCGCACAGCCCAATGTCGTCCCAATCACCTCTATTAAAACAGCCTAAACTTTGCCAAACCAATCCAAAATTTAACTTGTATGTTAAGTACTTACAAGAAACAGCACTATTTATTGAGCAATAGCCTCTTGGGGCCATAAAAGAAACATATTAACCCAAAATTGCTCATGATCTACTGCAAATGTCAATACCTAGCATTATTGTGACTATTCATTCATCTTTTCACTATAATTAAGTTGGAAAATTTGAAAGGCAAAAACATTATCCCTACTGTTGGCATAAATGCTCAGGAGTGGTGAGATACTGTTCGATCCACACCATTCAAATGTATTCTCAAACTTAGTTCAAAATTCTCTTCTTCTTTGAAGATGAATTCAAACGAGTGGTGGGTTCTCATTCTAGTCAAGTTGAGATTTGATCGTTGCAACAAAGAATATCAAATTGCAATGGGAGTCGAATGCATTGTCCTGTTGTTCCTAGCAATTATGAGGACCTCCTACATGGCTTTCACACAATTGTGATGTGAAATCCATCCCCGGTGGTCAAATTAGGAAGTATTGTTCATGCATACATATACATATATACCCTTCGACCCCTTTGAGAATCTTCATTGTAGATGAAACTCTCCTTGGATTGTCCAGTTTGGAATGCACAAATCTATATTGTAGCTTTACCACTTAAATGTGTTTCATCTCATGGAGATTTATTGTCTCAACTCCTTGTTCTCTAGGTGCATACTAAGTTGGATGTAGCAATATACTCAATCTATGTTTTGTACTAGGAGCTATGTTACATGGACTCGGTAAGAGAGTCGGATTTGGGTACGTGTCCAGAAGTCGGAGTCGCATGTTCTCTCAATTATAGGATACTGGGACTTGGCTAAAAAGTATTCAAAAATTTAATATGGATACGAGGACACGGCATATTAATATATACATTAAAATTAAATATTCTATATATTGTTGAATTAGAAGGGACGGGTTGGAAATGAATTACTACTAAAAAAAAATAATGATTAAAGGAATTAATTGCTTTTTGTAACTTGATGTTCATTTGAAGCTTTTGCAGGTGAAACTATACCTCAATATATGTTGCTGATGTTGCTTGCAAATTGAAAGTTAAGTGGCAAAGAAAGTGGTGTCATATCATCAAATTACAATTCCAAGTGCAAATAAGATGATGTTACACCTGATGACATTCTCAACTAAAAAAAAACTCAGCTGTCTCTATTTGATTATATAATACTAATATACTTCTATAACATAAAAAGTTGTACCTAGTCTATGTCACATAACATACACTGCAGATTGCTGTATCCACACGATACACTGCATATTAATCATAAAAAGTTGTGCATATTTGTGTTGTATTAAATGTATATATACAAATATTAAATATAAAATTCCATATTGTGAATTGTGAAAGAGAGAGAGAGAGAGTTGCTTGTTGATGACACAGAGAGCTACACCTGCGACACACCTCCTCCTCTTCTCTGGCGAATTTTCAGAGGTATGGAACAAGTTTCACACTCGTTAGCTAAAAATTCTTTTGTATGGAGTTCTTCCTGAACTTAGATGTGTCCAAGATAACAGATCCATGTCCGACAGATCTTGCACCTGCACCCGTGTCGTGTTGTGTTGACACAGGTACTTCCCCCAGAACTGGTGAGTCCATGTAACACAGACTAGGAGAACTAATAGGACATGCTGCCAGATTTCTGTTAGATATGGACAAAGTGGTATGGATTGCTTCTTATGACATAGATTATGTATTCTCAAATGGGATAGGACCACCTACGAAAATAAGGAGTTGGAGAATTTACTACACATTTTGCATTGAGTTGTGCGACCTTTTGTTTTGTATGTGACAATTGGACAAGAGCTAGATGATGATTAAAATAGAATAAATAGAATAAGAAGTATGGAATATCAAGAAGGGCTGAAGCCATTTATTGAATTTGCAATGCAAATATAGGCCTTGAGGATGGGATTTGGTATTCGTGTATCAACTGCTTGAATGACAAAAAAGCATAGGAATCAGGTTGTCAGGATTCACTTGATCCGAAGAGGAATCTCACCTTCTTACAGGGCTTAGGTGCACCATGGGGAACTTGTTCCTATGTCTTAGCCTCTTGTACCGAACGATGCTGACCACAACAATGGTGAATATATTTGCGATGGAATTGCAGGGGAAGTTCGTGAGGACAAGGACGAATTGCCTACTATGTTGGAAGAGGTATACAAGGGTCTTCTTATGGATGATGATATTGATGAATGATCTGATGAATTACCTTAGAGCTTGGAGAGGGATGATGCGTTGAACTTTGATAAGTTGTTCAAATATGCTTAATGTGAAGTGTACCTGAATGCACAAGGTTCACTGGGTTGTTGTTAGTTATTAAGATACCTTATATTAAGCTGTACAACAAATGGAGCTACAACCCATTTGATATAGTTATGAAGGTATTCAAGGACATTCTACTAGAGTGTGATTAGGTTGTTCTATGGACGGTTTATGACCAAACCACACCAAACCAAACCATGCTATGCCTTGCATCTCAATCTATGGATCCTTTATAAGGCTAAAAATTCTGACATGATTTGGGTTTTTGGGATATATGCTCATTCATGCCTACAAGCATGATTGTGCACTCCTTTGAAAGAAGAATGTGAATATGGAGAATTGCCTTGGATTTAAGGATACAAGTTGGATGATGGTAAGGGTAACAAGATAACTCATAAACCAATTGACACCTAGGTTGAAAAAATTGTAAATGTTGAAGAAAACAGTTACACATATGAGATGGCACAAAGAAGTGTGGATGATGGAATATTGAGGCATGAAAAGGACTTTAATAGATAGCATCTTGTGTTCGTTGAGGATTTGCCGAATGCAAGGCTACAACTGGCCATCGATGGTTTTAATCTTTTTGGAAATATGAGCACATTGAATAGTATGTGGCCTACATAATGCCCTATAATCTTCCACTATGGAAGTGTATGAAAGATCCTTTTGCTTTTGCATGATGTCGTTTATTCCTGAACGATCGACACTTGGAAGACATTTTGATGTTTACTTATGGCTATTAATTGATGAATTGAAGGAGTTAAGGAAGATGGCATCCAAACTTATGATGCCTCAAATGAACAAATTTTTAGATTGCATGTTGTAGTCATGTAAACCATCAATTACTTCATTGCATATGGTATCTTGTTCAGGTGGACTAGAAAATATTATTTGGGTTGTCTCACTTGTCACAAAGATGCATCATCTCAAAAGTTAATGAATAGGATAGGGGGACATAGGTGTTTGTTGCTACTTACCTGAGAATACAGATGGAGAAGGAACTTCTTGTTTAATATACAAATCAGGTGAAGACCTTTGGAGTTATTGGGCAAACAAATATTAGAGCAAATTGATTTAGGGACATGCAAGTTGTTTGAAAAACCTCCAAACAACAAGAAAAGACAAAGGGTTGAAAATCCAGTTTTGAATTGGACAAATAAAAGCATTATATTTGAGCTGCTTTACTAGAAGATACTCAAGCTTTGACACAACCTAAATCTCATGCACAGAGAGAAGAATATGTGACAATTTCACTGGAACGTTATTAAGTATAGATGGGAAGAGCAAGGAAACAAAAAAAGTATGCATGGATTTGGAAAATATGAGAATGCAGCAGGAGTTGCACCTAAAGAGGCTTGCAAATGGGTCCTTTGAGATGCCTCTGACATTGTACACATTGTTCACTGCAATGACAAGGAGTTTATGATTCTTGAAATCAATCAAGTATCTTGATAGCTAGGCAACAATCATCTCTACTTGCGTGAGCACTCAGGGTGGTAAATTTTCAGGTCACAAAAAGTCGTGATTGTCATATGCCCTTGTATGACTTCTTTCAATTGGGACACATGGGTATTAACAAGGAAATTGGTACCACATTGTTTGAGTTAGGAAATCACTTTCAACAATTGTGCTCGAAGGCATTGAAGGTGACAAATTTAAAGAACTAGAGAATTAAATTGTACTTCTACTTTACAAACTTCAAATAATTTTTCCTCAAACTTTTGTTGATGTCGTGGTCCACTTGGCTATTCATTTGTTTCGTGAGGCTATGCTTGTAGGTCTAGTGCAATATCGATGGATGTACCAAATTGAAAAGTAATTAGTTTGTACTCTTATAGTAAAATCGTACTCTATGTCCCATTTGTTTGTCCACTTTGAAAAGGCAAAGCATAAAATGTGTATTTTTCCAAAATTATCCCTTACAACAAGTCATAAGGCCTTGTTTGATTAGGGGGCAATCGATGAAATTAGTGTAGGATTGATTATCCAACTAGATTAGTGGAATAAATAATTCCCTCTTGTCCATGTTTATTAATCTGAATAACAAAATTGAAACCAAACACTGGAATGTGAGTCCCATGGATTAATAATCCCAATCTTGTGCTATTATTCATCAAATCAAATTTTCCCCAAAGTGTATTGGAAAATGAGAAATAAAGGAGTAGTTGTTGGAAACAATACCTTTGAATTCCAATGCAATTATTGCGTGTCCCCTTAAAATTTAGAATCCC